CACACATTTTGAAGACATACTAATGAAGTGGAGTTTTGTTGGCAACTGGGGTGGGATGGGAAGAAAACGAAAACTTTTGAATGTTCAGATAGTTCTTTTGTTTAAGAAATAAAAGAAATCAATATAACATAAATTAACCACACAACATAAATATATAATTATAAACAGTGCTCTGTTTTTGTCAAAATTGGTTTACAAATGTGGGTTATATTAAGCCTTCCACTGACCAGAACATTTTTTTAAAAATTCTGCTATCATCCATGAAATTAACATGACACTTTTTGTATACCTTCTGCACATCTCTGCTTCTTCCTTCCAACCAATGCTTTAGTTCAGATGTAAGCTTTCTCATAACAAGTACTGGCATTCCATTAGCTAGTTCATTAACAAGTTACACCCAATTTTATTGAGCCTAACAGCTGCCTATCAAAGAACTCAACTCAAAGATCACGATTACAACTACTAATTGGCATGTAGTTTAGGGTTGCTATTAAAACTATAAAACTGATTTACTGCAAAAGGAACAAATCCCAAATACTCAGAGAAAGGAATGTGTTACATGTTATTCCTAAACAACATTATTATTTACTGCTAATGGGTTGTTTAATTCTAAAAAGACCTTACCTCCTTCCTATTTACTTATTTTACATTCTTTATCACATTGTTATGACAAAAGTCCACTTCTTCAGATATGAGGAAGGAAGTCTGAAGTCTGATTTGTATCTGAAGAAGTGGATTTTGATCCACAAAAGCTTGCAAGAAAATAAAATCTGCTTGTTTTAGCGACTGCTGGGTAGCTCAGATATGAGGTTCGATTCCCCACTGTGCCTCCTTGGCAGGAGCTGGACTCAGTGACCCATAGGGTCCCATTCAGTTCTGCAGTTCAAAAGATGATGGTGGTGGTGGTGATGATGATTCCATAATATTTTTTACTTTTTTTCTTCTTCTCTTCTTTTCCATCTGCCGCAACAGACACAGCTTTGTTTTTACTGAATCTAAACAATTCCTGGAAAAATTCCCCTAAAAATGAATAACTTTTGAAAGGAACAAAGTATTGCTCTTTATGCTTATGTTACCCAAAAGTAATGACTTGCAGGTAAATACATTATCTGCTTCTGAGCTCATGTTCAGAAGACTCTGCTATACCACCTGGAATGACTGATTCTATTAGAAGGACCATAATACCATAATGGTGTGCCTGCCGGGCCCAGACCCAACAAACAATGATGAAGAATACCATGGTTGTGAAATTCCCTGAGAAGCTCTCAACACACAACCTTGCACTTTCCCTCTCATACTATGTATGCTATCTATGAATGTTCAAATGACTGTCGCGAGAGGTGTTTGTGGCAAGTGCCACCTGGACTTAGGAATTCATTTAAAGTTCTTATAAGACTGTCACTGAATACGTGTGGTGCTCTCTCCTGACATTCTAACCTGTCAGACTGCAGGTTGCTGCACTCTAAGGATTTTCAGTATTCAAGACTACTCCCTCCATTTATGTAATGGAGTCAGTAGCACACCTGCAAAGAGCGTACAGTGATGTCCAAAATCAGCCTCCTTTCCCACATTTCATTTTATGCATCAGAATGTCATCTGTGCTTCATCTCATTGCCCTTTGTCTTTGCCTCCCAGCAATTTCCTAAAGTTCATTTTGGGCACAGGCACACTTTAACAATTTATTTTGTGTGTTACCTGCAGGGTTTGCCAGTTCACTGATTGCCAACTTGTTTAAATCGTTAAATGAAGCTTGTAAGGCAGCTTGTGCTCCATTGCTCGAATAATGTACAGTGTACATAATACATATGTACAGTGTTTGGGCAAGATAGGTGGGGGGTTGCTCCACTTTCTTGGTTGTGCCTGTTTTGAAAGCATTCCAGTGTGGTTATTACTGATGTACTGTTACTGTTGTACAATGTCACTGGAGGATGTGAAACTTTTAACCTTTGGAAGAGCTATTTGCAAAGAAAAAAAGAATATGCAACAGTTTTAACTGGAGTGTGAAACTGTTGAAGAGTGGTTGCAGCTCTGCCAACTTGGCAACATTTTTCTCTCTAATAGAAAAGTAACCCTAGACTGAGATTCCAGATGTGCCAGAACTACTTTTATTTGGACTACAGAAGGGATCCAATGAAGTGCATTCAAAAGAGGTGCGGACTTCCTTTTGCAAATTGCCAAATGTATTTTTACTGTATCACAGGAAATTTGTCTGTTAGAGCTTTCGAGGTGATCATGTTGAAAAGGTGCTTAAGAAATGTTGTTTGTTTCTGGCTCATTTATTTCAATAAATCACTCTTACTGAAATCTATTTTAGGCCAGTCATCCCCATACAATATTCTACCAGATGTTTTGGCCCATGAGCCCTCTCATCCCTGACTATTTGCCATGCTGGCTGGATCTAATAGGAGTCACAGGGTAAAACATCTGGAGAAACTTCAGAAAGATCGTGCCCACTGAACTTTTAGGGGCTCAGGGGTGGTGGAGAAAAACTTGGATTTTTTTAAAAATGACATTTGTAAAACTGCTTTCATTACAGATGTTGGAAAAGAATTTGTTATTGTGTACTGATCTTTTACAAATTGCTCATTCATTTGTGTACTCTGATTTTCTCATCTTAAAGACCTTCAACCATTTTTGAAGGTTCCAGTGCAAATACAGTAGCATTGGTCTCGTGTGAAGAGAGTACATCTGTGGAATTCTCTGTGTACTTAAACTTGTGCCAGATAAATAATTGTGAAAATAATAGAAGTCAATGGAATGTTAAAGTTTTCTGTGCTACTGGGAACCGCTAATGGGAAATGGCAACACAGCGACAGTCAATCGGGAAAGGGGGAAACATATGACTACACCAGAAATGAACTTGGAATAAGTTGAAACCTTTTTTTGTGTGCAGAACAGTGATGTCTCTTTTTTGTGATGTCTATTAAAAATATTCTAAATAATCCTTTTTCAAAGAGTTTAAAGTGGCATGCAAAAGATTAAAGTGTGCTGCTTAAACTGATTAAAGCAAACAAAACTTAATTTTGTGATGTCTATTAAAATATTCTAAATAATCATTTTACAAAGAGTTTAAAGTGGCATGCAAAAGTGTGCTGCCTAAACTGATTAAAGCAAACAAAACTTAATTTTAGCAATGATTTCATCCTGTTCTTTCAGCATTTTCTTCAGTTTGTATCAGTGAATAAATAAAAGAAGAGGGTCATGTACCCCATGTTCTCACTCCAGAGTTTGCATGGTTATAAATTTGAAGCATTTCCTGTTGTTTTAGTAGGCATCCTTCAGTCTCGAGAGACTGTGGTAATGTGCTCTGAATAGAGGTATTGGAACAGAGTCTAGTGTGGCTGAGAAGGCCAATTTGAGAGTGACAATCCTTTTCACACTGAAGACAAATACAATCTGTCCCCTGATTTTGCTGGTTTCGGGACTGCCTCTTCGCCTCGGACTGCTGAACAAGGGTCTCTTCAAATTGGGAGAGGCCATGCTGCACTGATTGCCTCCAGGCTGAACACTCAGATGTCAAAGTTTCCCATTTGTTTAGGTCCAGTCCTAAGGCCTTCAGAACTATAGTGCTGGGAAAGAATGTTGCATTGTGTTCTATGTTGTGGATCAAATCAAAGTTATGGTTTTACATTGCCTCAAAAGGGAGAACAAAAGTGTAAACCCCATGAGTAGTATATAGTAGAAGATTACTTTTCTGCTGTGTTTGGGCTGAGTTTTGAGAAAAGCATTTTACTTAGTTTGAACCTGAGAGAGCTGCGTCCCTCCCTCCATGGACTGGCTGCTTAAGGAAGAGATATTAACACGAGTTTTATTTATCTATTTGCTTTCATTTGTGACCTGTATCTCACACTTGCTTGCCATCCTTTTCTCAGCTGCAGTCTTCATGGCATCAACAGTGTTTTATGAAAGGTTTCCCACAAGTTCAGAGTGCATCTTTAGGAGCCTAGAGACCCGAGAAAGAAGAGAGATTGTGCCTCCCTGTTTTGCTGGTGGAAGCAGCTTTCATGAGGTTCTTCACTGGTTTCCACAGAATGTAGTGCCATGAGTCTTTAGAGCAGTGATTCCTAACCTTGGGTACCCATATGTTCTTGGATTAAGACTCCCAGAAGCCTTCACCACCAGCTGTGCTGGCCAAGATTTCTCGGAGTTGTGGTCCAAGAACATCTGGGGACCCAACATTGTGAACCACTGCGCTATAAAGTATGAGAGGATTGGTCCCTGCCCCGAGTGTACAGTCTAAAAGTCAACACGGGAAACAGCGGATGAAGGGGAGGAAAGGAAAGCACAAGTAATTAAGGAAAGAAATCCTTTCTTTAGCCATATGAGGGAAACAGCATGTGGTTGTTTTAACTGAACAGTAACTTTTAACTGCACAGTGTGAGAGGTGTGGGGTTGTAATGAAGACTTCTCATGAAAAGCTGGGCTTCAAGGAGGGATATGAAGGAAACATCATTTAGCTGTTATGGCAGGTTTCAAGCATATGAAGCCTCGAGGAAGAAAGGGAAGAGTTGGAGTCCTTTGGACAGCTGAGACAGGTGTACCAGTAGGGGAATGAAGGTCATGATGAAAGATCCAGTGGATTAAAGAAGGGAGGGATGTGGGGGACAAAGCAATGCAGGTAAAGACCAGGTAAAGATTCAGAATGTAACAGGAAGGCTTATGCAGAGGTTTGAAGTGAAGAATCACTTGATCAAGTTGTCAAAAGAAATGAACAATTTATCCATTTCACCATCCATACAATGGGAACAGGGAAGGGTGAGTTTATGAAATATTGTGAGATTTTAAAGACTAATATATTTGTATGTGCGCTTTTGTGGATCAAAATCCACTTCCTGAGAAACATTATTTCAAAATGTTTTGCAGATTTGAAAGCTTCTATATACATAGTTTAGATAATAATTACATGAAAAAGTATTAGAATAACTTGTATTAAGTATAATCTGTGAGGTAGACTTTGCAAAATCCTTGCATGGTATTTAACCTATTGTGAACTGTTGTAGGTTCCAGATTCAACGAGGAAAAACTGATCCATCCAGTTACAGGAGCTTGGGACACAGTTTTAGGACCATATTCAAGACAGAAGGGTAAGAATATATACAATCAATATGTATTTGTAATTCACTTTAAAAAAAAGTTTTTAACAACTTTTGCTGTTTTAATATAATATTATTTCATTTAATATTTTTAAGCAGTTTTTCTTTCTGAAAGGAAGTTTGAAAGTGGCTGGGCATTAAGTACCAAAATATCAAGATTATAATCATAATACACACAGTAGCACACACGTACACACAAACAAATACAAATATACACATGTACAATAACTAAAAATTTCAGTACTAAGCCAAGTTTACTACAACAAATGAACAAAATTTGGCTATTCAATTTAATTTTACTACATTTTTGGCCATCAGAGCACCCGAAGTCACATATATTACAATATATTTTAAGAACCTGGAAAAACAGATCAAATACAAAGCATATTATTACTGTCCTATTTAATTAATTTACGCAATATAATATCTAATTAACAGCGCGATAATATACCACCACAATAAAGACATTAAGCATTTTCTGAATGTAACTAATTTTTTTTAAAGACATATTGAATAATTTGAAATGTCTTGCCTACCTGAAATGTCAGATTCTGCTTCTCATTATATCGGTATTCATTGATATAATTGTAAATGCTGTGTGATTGGAGTTTATTTTATTTATTTATTTCTTAATTTTATTTAACTTATATGCCGCCCACTCTGCCCAAAGGTCTCTGGGCGGCTTACAACAATTAAAATTCAACTAAAATACAATAAAAGATAAAATGATTAAAACACAATTAAAATTGCCATCAGGACCCACAGTTGATGTTATTTCAATTAAAAGCCTTCTGGAACAGGAAGGTTTTGACCTGGCGCCGAAATGTCATCAGGATCGGCCCCAGACGAATCTCAGTTGGGATAGCGTTCCATAGTCTGGCGGCAGCTGCCGAAAAGGCCCTTTGTCTACAAGCCATCCATCTTACCTACTTAAGGGACGGCTCTTTCAAAAAGGCCCCCTGGCTAGATCTTAGGTAGGCTCATATGGAAGGAGACGGTCCTTCAGATATCCAGGCCCCAAGCCATTTAGGGCTTTATATGTCAAAACAAGCACTTTGAATTGGGCCTGGGCAGCAACTTGTAGCCAATGTAATTTAAACAGAATTGGCTTGATGTGTTCTCTAGCAGCCCCTAGTTGACCTTCATTCTTTTATTACCATAGGATCACATCTTCCAAAACATTTGATTGATTGATTGATTGATTGATTGATTGATTGATTGATATACCACTTCTGCATGTACTACTCTGGGGAGTTTAAAAATTAAAATTTAAAACTCTGACAGACCCCCACATAGCAATATATATGACAAAATGGAGATAAAAAGTATGTAAAATTTATCACAAAAAGTTGACATTCTTGGAAGTCTGGACCTAGGTGTGTGGAATTAAAGAGACAGGGATGTATCCAGTGTTGGCTCTGTCTAAGCCACAGGAAGTACTCCAGAGGAATTTGAGTTTTATCCATTCTGTCTCATAACATGTGAGTCCTCACATATCCTGTTCTGCTTTTTAAGTCCTCTATCCTCTGGACAGCTAGGAGGGGGTGTAAATTGTTTAAAAGGCATATGTATGTGCAAATAAAGATAAGCATTGGCAGGGACAAAGAGCTTGTTGAATCCAGACCTGTGTTAGTATTTGTGTCTATTATGTGAGCTTGGAGGATGGTAGTAAAACAATACATGGCTCTTGGTATCAATTAGAGTATTTCTTAGCCAACTGGAGTACTTGTGGTGCATAAAAATTAAGCATGTGTGTATGTTTTTATGTGATTGAGGTTGAAGTGTTTAGAATATTTCTTAATTAACTATGAAAAGGATCCTATTTTATTAGCTGTTATTAAATGACGGGTTTTCTACAGTACAGGTGCATGAGGTAATGGCTAACACAATGAGAAAGCTGGTGGACGCAAACGAATAAAACTTTCTTTTAGGTTTTTACTACAAGGAAGATAGTGATAAAGTTTTGTTTCACTTATGTTACATAAGAGGCATATATTCCTTGATAGTTTCTTGATAAATGAAAAATAAACGAACAAGTCCTTTTAAAAAATGTTCCTTGATATTTCGGATCGTGCTCACCAAGGAGAAATGGAAACTGCTAGCAGACAACCTCCTTTGGGTTGCTAGAACATTATTTACAGAACAAAACAGGGAATAAAACTAGGTGGCCTACAAGAGCTGTTATATTATGTGGTTCCAAATGGAATGTATCTCTTATTAGGACAAAGCTTATATGACCGTATTACCAGCTACAAATGCAGACCGGCTGAGTTGCTTAAGACTGGATATGGCAGTCTAGTGAGAACGGAGCCATTGGCTCGGTTCAATCTTTATAGGAAATTATAGATCCTTGTTACAAGAATGATTTGTCACAAGCCTGGGTTCACGCTCTGCCCCCTTCCCACCCCCTCCACTTCCCTTGTCCCCTTCCACATCCACAATAAATTTTGTTTTCTGTTTGAAACTAATCATGGTATCTCTCATGGAAACTACACTCATGATATCTCCATTCCAAAAACTTGGTTTTGTTGAAGCCATGGTTATTGAGAAGAACCCAAGATCACATTGTTGTTTGTGATTCTAATATGTTCTGAGATAATAGTTTGAGCACTAACTACAGTTACTGGAGTGGAGAACTATGGTTAGTTTAAGCCAGATGTGTTAACTCTCAGTCTCCTGGAAGGAATGAAAAAGAAAAGGGAATGAGGATGACTGCAAGCTTGAGTCTTGCTCTCACATTTTCTTGTAGCAAGGAATCATGGTTTCTCATTGTAGTCTGAAATTAGTCGTAGTGTTCATAATCAGAACACGGAGAAGTGGTACACTGGGGACATCGTTGCATATAATTATGTTGCAGAGCTTTGAATTTTTGGTTAAATTCCTCTAGCTGTGCAGCAGAAGTTAAGGGATTCACAGAGCATAATAGCTTCATGTTCCCCAGAGTACTCTACCCTTTTTCTCATTAACTTGCACTTATGGTCTCAGTAACTCACTCTGAGATATTTGTAAGACAAAGAATAAAATCATTTCATCACTTGCAGTTGTGAACAGATTAACGGCAAACTAACAAAAACACTGTTTCGAGAGACTAGACAGAGGGAAAGAGAATCCTCAGCACTCTGAAACATTAGTAGGAGAAAGCATTAAAAAATTATTTACCTACAGTTCAAAAGCAAACGAACAAACATGGCTGCTTTTAGCAACAAACTTCAACAGACGAACATCTTCCAGCAGACAAAAGATAAAGAACACCTAGTAGACAGGCGGGGCTCTCTTTTAATTCAGAGGCAGGGAAGGAATGATTGGTTGTGATGGATAGATTGACTGACACCCTAGCCTAGAAAGGTCCTTCCGAGCCAAACCTAGTAAAGAGAGCATGCAAGGTTGGGGGAAATAAAACAACCTCCAACAAATTATACCCAGTGTATAAGCTGCTGGAGATGTGAACTGCTGGAACAGCAATACAGTATGTGGATTGTTTGGGCAGGCCTTTCCATCATATTCCTCTTGACCTCCTTCCCTCTTTACTGTTTCTGTTTTGCACTCTATGTAATGTATTGTAGTGTTTTTACTAATTAGAATTGCTTATTTATATTGTTATTGTATTTTATTGTTGTTAGCCGCCTAGAGTGGTCCGCACCGACCAGATAGGTGGGGTATAAATTAAATAAATAAATAAATAAATAAAATAATAAATGTGCGTAAGTGTTCCATGCATGCCATGGCACATTTAAATGGACTTTCCACCTGTATACAGTATGTGTGTGGTGTTAACACATCATCAGTAAAAGCATGCACGCTGGTTGAATTAAGCATGACCAACTGTCTGGATTGAATCTTGTTCCTATAGCTCTGCACATGTAATGATGTAATCTGACATGGACTTTAATCTTTTGTTAAGCTTCCTATTCCCCCACCCACCTAAAGTTTTAAAACTCCTTAGGGATTCCTTTCAACTTGGGGAGGGCTCTGGGGTCCTCATTGGGGGGGAGAGGTTAATGTTTGAGAATTGCCGGCAGCAGCAAACAGGGTTCTGGCCTCTGTGACAAACTTTTACACAATGCAGCACATTACTGTAGCTTGTATCACACATACATTTGGTCTAATTTAGTACTGTATTGAAGGATTGGTTTACTCACAGCTATGCATAAGACTTTTTCACAACCACAATAATTTTCAGGGATTTTCCAGCTAAGCTAAAAAATAAATAAACAATCATCATCTTCCCTCTGAGATTTTGTTGCAGGAAGGTGGCTTTAGGCAAGTTGTTTTTCATGTTGTTGTGGCGTTCGCTCTTGTGCCCCCTTGCTTGACTGTCAAGAGCACATGAAGGCAAAATATCCCCTCTTTTACACTGCTGCCACCAGGTGATCACTAAATCACCATTACTTCTGGAAGATAAAGATTCAGGTCCACACTCAAAGGCTTTTAAATAGGACTTTTGTTTATTGATTACAGAACTTTATATGAATATCTTCTTTAAATAAATTTATTATTAACAACAACCTTCTATTTAATAATACACTCCTAACTCTAATCACACCTCAGATTTCCTCAATCTCCACACTCTAACTACTTCTCTCTCACACACTCCACTCCAACTCTCCGCCTCTTATAAGAGCTCTCTCAGCTCCGCCTCTCAGCAACATGAATATGCATGAACAATTAACATACTAAAACAACCATTAACAAAATAAAGTAGAATGCTACAGTTGTTGATAACAGGCCATCCCTTTAAATGATTAAAAATGAATTGCTAATTCATAGTAGAAAAAAAGAGGACTGTAACCATTTGAAGAAGTGCTGTTTGACTTTCCTGTGTTAATACTAAAGATGAGTGGATGTACCACTTACTGTTTTAACACAGCAGATGCTGGCTTTTTTGGTGAACTCTTCCGTACTTCCTGTGAGTGTAGGAGCTGATTAAGAATCTGAGAATCAGTGCTGTCAAGTAGAAAACATGAAGATTGTTGTTTTCCTTTCAACTCTTA